GAATTTCCTTAATGAATGATAAAGTGCTAGAATTCTCCTCCAGCCTGTTATTCATTTTAAATAGCTACAGGCCTATTTATTCAGCTGTAACCTGACGGGACTAAAATGCCGGTGGCAATAACTGAAGATGAAAATATTAATGGAATAGATTAGACATAGGCTAGTTTAGGCTACTCATGGACCTGTGATTGTAAAGTGACAGTCCGACTCAGTAGGCCTATGCCTATTTTTTTTGCAATGTAAAATGTGTCTAGGTTCAAACTGACTGACTACAATATGAAAGGTTACTGTTCATTGATCATTTTTATACAGATTAGGCCTAAGTTTTTGTGCAACTGTTGCCAACACTGACAGCTGCCTTAATTTCCACAGAGTCACTGTGTTATAAAGAAGGACAGTGTAGCTTATAGATTTTATTCTGTGCTGAGGATAAATTTACAATGTCCAAAGATAACTCTCTGTCCATACATCAATAACCGATTGATCATAAAAGCGTCATGTTCAAGATCATGTTTGGGTAAAAAAAACAACTAACAGCCTATTTACCCGTTCGTTGTATGTTCATCCACTGCTGTGTGTCTTGCTTGCCTGCCTCTGCCACCTCGTCTGTTGGATTATCTTTTTGTTCTGTCTTCCCCTGGATCATTTGTTACGGACAGTTTTTTGCTGCTCTGCAGACAACCTTGGTTTGGACTCTGCTGTAAGTTTAGTTCCTTTTGAGTTTAATAAATTCTAAGAGACTGTATCTGTCCTGCCTGCTTGTCCTGTGTTTGGGTCCCATACCTGTTCCTGCCTGCACACACGTGACACAACACTGAGATGCAGGAGCTAAGATGCAGGGAACAATCTATAATACATGACAGACCGGTACAAAGAGAGCTAAACAGAACCAGTAAATGAACAGGGAATACACAAAGCTAAACAGAGAACACAAGACCAGGGACCAAACCTCAAACAGGAAACAACTGACTAACAGAATGAAGTAGGGAACAGAGATGGAACCAACTGGAAAACAGGACACCACAAAACAGACATAAACTAGGTTACTGGACACAGGACAGAAACCAAAACCCAACATACTATAAGACAGATACAGAATTGATCAAAATATCCAAATACCCACAGAGACTAAATTTAAACATAGCCGACAGGCAGAACGTGACAGTGGGTTGTTTTTAATTATTAGATCCTTGTGCAAGAAGCACAGTCTATAGTCTGATAGTCCATGAAAGTCAGCCGCAGTTATGACTATTGCCTACTTGATAGTCCAACGTGAGCTGTAGGCGACTGCAGAGGCGGAGTATAAAAATGGCATGTTCTACCTGCGTGAGCTTACTGTGACCTGAGATCAATGACTGATCTCACTGCCTTTTGCAAAGAAAATGCCGCAAGATCAGGAAAAAGGTGCTTCCAACTTTGTGCAGCCGGAGAAAAGCAACTGCGGCCGCCGGACTCGGTACCTGCAGCCACCTTGCTCCTGCCAGGTTTTAATGTCATGTGACATGGTGACATTTTGCAGCGTCAGCGAAAGTCGGACGCAATTTCTAACCAGCATGCCTTATTTTAGTCCAGCATGCAAAAAAACAACA